ATGATGATGATGATGATAATGATGATAATGATAAAAGATGGTGTGATTGCTACCTGGGGTATGCATCTATGTCCATTCCAAGCAAAGCCACTCGAGCAATAACACGAAAAAGAACCCTCTGTATTCAGACACAACTGGCAAATATTTGGATCATTGCATTCATCGATATCTAAACAGAATAAAAATATTTCTCTGTTACTGGTTCGTCTTTCGTATTATTGTCTCTTTTATTGACTTTGTCTCATGAGTACTGGATGTGCAACTCCGTGAAAATAAAAACCCGTGAAACAAAACTGTCTTCTTCACAGTTCCCTGTGCCATCTTGACAAGTGACCGTGCCTTTGCATTAAGCGAGGCGACCTTTGAGCCTGCAGTGATAGATACCTTCTGTTCACACCCAAAAGAATTACTCCCAGGTATCATTGCGAACTCAATTATTGTCTCGCTCTGATGCAAAGGCTCGGTTACCTTTCAAGATGGCGCTGGGAACTGTTAGATAGAGAATTGTCAAGGTGTAAAAATTAAAAGAAACGAAATAAGAAAAAATGTTGATAAGAAGCAATGTACCACTTCGATCATACGGCAGCCACTTTTTTTTGGCAGCAAAGACAGAAAATTGTTTTTCGTGGATTCATTTATTGCCGAACTGAACATTAATTAGCACATACGTGATATCGTGACATGCGTCACGCAATGTTAAATAGATATTGTCACACAATCAGTTTACCTTTGCAGTCGCCTTTGCTATCAGCAACAAATCCCGCCAARCAATTACAACTGTAGGAACCAAGTGAGTTCCGACAAACAGAGTTCGAAGGACACGTGCCTTTTTTGTCGGCGTTACATTCGTCGGTATCTCAAAGGAAAAATGATGCCGTAAATAAGCGTTTTCTATATTRTTCCCTGATATTTAACCCATTAGACCGCGAACTCGAGTAAACTACATGTTGATAGTCTGTAAGGCTGTCCGTATTTATGTTTGAAAAAAGACAATGAATTTCTTCTCTATAATGGCGACGCCATTTTGAAGAGAGAATGAGCCGAGAGACGCTTTGTATACCGTCAATATTTTGAATATGAATGTCATCATGACGTCCAATGAAAACTTAAAGGCCCAGTTTGTACCATTATGCCTTGCGAGCCTCTGTTATTGTTATGATTTACACCAAAATGCTTTTAGTATACAAATATCACCGTAAAACGAGTTTCACACACACTACAATGTATAGAGTTTTGCTGAAAATGGCTGCCTCCCGGCACTCGCGGCCCCCAAAGCATTATATAATGGTGCACACTGGGCCTAAATTTGATAATCGTTTTGATTATTTTTTTTTTACCGTTGCATGATTTGGTAAGTTCTTGGTATTCGTACCCAGCAGGACAAACGCATGTATACGTGCCTGGCTTGTTTTCACAGTTCGCCGAGATGGGGCAGTCAAATTGATTTGTAGAGCACTCATCGATGTCTGCAAGATAGGATGAGGTTCTAGTGTTAGTTCACTGTTTGAGGCATTTTTTATAGAATATCAAACGTTTTTGCACCATAAATGACGTCATACGGTGCAAAACGTCTAATTTTTGTACGCTGACGTCACTGATAGAAGCGAGTATGAATGATCTTTTGAACAATTATTATTAGTATTACCTCTACATTGCCATCCATTTCCTCTGAATCCAGCACGGCATTGACAGCTGTACGATCCCATAACATTAAGGCAGTCAGCATGAATTGAGCAATTATGTTCAAGCTGGCATTCGTTTCGTTCTAAACAAAAAAGAAATYGARTTGGGMTTCCTGTKGTTTGAAYGGATGCGTAGGGTCTGGGAAAGGAAACAAAATGGCAGAGGGGAAGGCGGATGATTTTTCGCGATGGATGGAAAATCTACCTAACGAGAAGCAACTCTGTTTTCTRAAAGACTTAGTAATGCCAGGATCTCATGACTCAGGGACATTTTATCTCGATCAGTCATCRGAAATCGGCCCTGACGCATCAGCTGGCATCCAGAATCTTTGCAGTGTTTTTGGTCGAYTGGCGAAATCTGTAGTCTACAGTTGGTCCATCACTCAATCGCTAAACATATACCAACAACTTAAAGCTGGTATTCGCTACCTTGATTTAAGAGTTGCATTTCGCCCTCTAGATAACGAGATCCGCATTGTCCATGCACTTTACGGCTCTACAATCTCAGAAATTCTYGAAGAAGTWCAGATGTTTACAAAYGAAAACCCCAAGGAAGTGGTGATCCTAGATTTCAATCATTTTTACAACATGGACTGCGARGCACATCAAAGACTAGCTGACACTCTCTTAGGAATGTTTGGCGAAGTTATGAGAATCCCAGGRAAAGACGGTTTAAACTTCACCCTTCAAGACATGTGGGGAAATGACGAGAAAGTCATAATATTCTACCAAAATGAAGAAGTAGTCAAATGCTACCCATGTTTCTGGTCGAGCAACTCTATTACCTCACCATGGGCTAACGTTGATGACCGAAAAGATCTCCTAAAATTCCTAGACTCAAAATGCCTCCGAAAAGAGCAGCCACCGGAGTGCTTTCATGTCACTCAATGTGTTTTGACACCTCAAACGTCAACTATTATGCAAAATGTCACAGGTACTTTGAAAGATCAGTTAGCTACGCGRTGTAATGCACACTCAACTGGCTGGCTCAAGGCGCTGTGTGGTAGCAAAGTCCATAAGTTCAATATYATCATTGCTGATTTTGTTGAGCATGGAGAATTCATCTCWACTGTGATAAGCATGAAYTATTTTTACTGAGAGGGTTTGGATTGCTTAGAGCATGTAAGGTCGCAGATTGATAGTGTGTCTTGGATAAGACAGTGACTGTTCAAGCAAGGGCRTGTCTAGAAAAAAGTTATTGGTTGATATTCKCCTATTYAAAATTWAAAAAAMTAATWAATACTCCAGTTTCAAATTCTCTTTTGTGCWAGCWTAGCTKCAATCAAGCATAAATTGTTATTGTCTGCTTTTTACACARAGTTTTTGCATTACAATAGGATCTCTGCTGAATAAAAGAATATATTACATGCTTTACATGTTAAGGCTGCACAAATAAGACCTCAAAACTGGAGTATGGAATTGATYAATTTAAAAAATTGRAATGGAATTGGAATGGAATTGCTKTTTTSGACAATATTTYGRTGGTCAGAACTGCATCACCTAATTGCTACAATCCCTACTGAGCAAAAACCCAGTCTAAGTCTACAAGTGTAGTATGAAATAAGATATAAATATAGGATTGAATAATGAATACTGATACATAGAAAATAAACAAATAGACAATGAGATAAAAAATAGAATGAATAAATTAGTAAATAGATAAAAAGATTAAAGATAAATTAGATAAATTAATAAGTTATATCAAGCCTTATAATATGATAATAGCCTCAAAACATGAAAAAAATAAAAATAAATAGCAAGAACTGATTAAAGCATAATATTTATAAACTTGTTATAGCAGTTTAAAGTTTTTGCTTCAATTTAGTTGAGTTTATCTCTTATCTTTAAGCCACAAAATTATTTAATGTTTGTTTTGTATATAATACACTTATGAAAACAGAATATGGAAATGAGAAATTTTGGTCTTGTAATATTTACAAAGAAGCAGTTTTTTTATCTAAAATTTTAGGCCTATGCATGTGTCAATAACAACAGTATCTTTGTAAACTATTAGTACTGGTGAAGGTCTAGTATTTGTC